TCTATCTATCTATCTATCTATCTATCTATCTATCTATCTATCTATCTGTCTACCTATCTATCGATCTATCTATCTATGTGGAAAGTACCTACAAGCCACAGTTTCAAGGCAATCTTCTGACCCAGTTTCTCAGAATAGTGTAGTAGTTTGTGTAGGAGTGTTAGTATCATTTTCCCATAACATAAAAGGTCAAAGACAGGTTCAGTTCTCTAGGTTGCTAATATTTAGTAGAAGCTCAACAAGCACTTGCCTGCACAAGGATGGGCAGAAGAATGGAAACGAAACAGTGCTGCAATCAGAACAGCTAACCTTTGGTTCTGATTTTAGCCACAGGACCACCTGCAGCAGAAACTACTTTTGGTGTTTTAAAACTAATTTTCCATGTTTATATGGCAAGACAATTGGACCAAGTCAATAGAGACCTCCTCTAGGCATAAACAGTATGACTGTAAATATACCACAATACATAAACATTAAACGATCAGGACAGCGCCCCACTTTTTAAAAAATACTACATGTTTATTTTATGTGTATGGGTATTTTGCCCACATGTTGATTCCTTCACATGCATGCCTGTTGTTCACATAGGCTATAAGATGGTGTTGAATCCCCTAGCACTGGAGCCTCAGACAGCAATGAGACATGATGTGGGTCCTCTGTAAGAGTAGCAAGAACTTGCAACTGCTGAGCCATCTCTTCAATCCCAACACTGTCCCTTTTTGAGCACAGTTTTTAGCAAGACAAGATTCACTGTTTTAACTAACAACAGAATGAAGCCTGTACATGTACAAGGAATACAATGTGGACTGAGAGGCCAAGTGAGGATCAAAGAGAAGACAGGGGTCTGCTGGTGGGAGAAGATGAAGCATGTGGTATCTGAGGACACTCAACAGATTAAAAACATTCTCCTTTCAACTGCAAAAACAGACCTATCCAAGCAAATCTTTATCTGGAAAGCCCCAAGACTTTTGCCACTGCCATAAACCTGCAACTCAGAAGTTACTCTGTAACATCACCTCCAAACACACACCAATCCCATGCTGCCTTCATGCAGAATAGAATTTCCAAGTTACTTTTATTACCTCCCAAGCCCAGGTTAAAATATAATCAAGTATAATCTGCATTTATACAAAAGTTTGCAATGAAAGTTCTCCAAGTTTCATGGTGTTTTACAAAATATGCATAGAATTAAAAATTGTTGATATAAATGTCCCACTGTAAATGTAATCCTCAATATTTTTATAAAAAATATTCTCAACATAGAAATATTTTTTAGTATGTTAGAGTAGGAAGATAAGTTAGAACCTTTATTCTATTTGCCCAATGTCTATTGTGAAATAGTAAAAATTATAAGTAATGTTGTTAAATTAAACAATTATTAATTTGAAAGGCTATTTAAAAAGGAAATTAGTCACTTCTAATAATATAATAAATAAGTTAAATTAGAGTTGTCTTTTCTATTTTGAATATTGTATAGAAAAGCAAAATGAGTTCACTATATAAGCAAAATATAAAATCCAATCTCTTTTAAGATACAGTTGAGCATACTGAGGGGAAATGTTTAAGAATGGATGGTAGCATACAGATGTTAGTGTTTACACAATCTGGTGGCAAGAGTGAGCAGCACACTATGAGAAGCAGTTAGCTACTTTCAGGACCTCTGGCAGAGTTCTGGGGAAGACCACAAGGAAACCATATTATTCACTAATGTAGTTCTGGTAAATCTTATGTGTGATATTTCTCTGGCTGTATCCACAGAGGGAAAGTGGAACAGAGAACCTACCACAGCAGGCCTCACTCTACTACTGAAGGCAAGTCTTCAAGATGAAATAAAAATGCCTCATAGTCAATGCTGGAAGGACTTTCAGAAAGTCATTACGTGCTCAAGAGAGCTTAGAGCTATTCTAGTTCCTACATACCAGAAGTGGAAAATCAAAAGGTAACTTCCACATTGATGGAGAGCCTTCAGACACAAAAACTGAGCTCCTTTTGAAGGGAAATCCATGACAAACAGGCACTCTGAATCACAAGTAGCAGGAACCTCAATCAACCAGAGTCCATTTTAATTCTCAAGTGAGGTTTACACCATCCTTTATTTTGTCTCCTTGTTGCTTATTCCCTTTGGCAATTGAATCTTAAAAAAAAAAAAAAGTAACACAACAAACCTGCAAACAAAAAGTATCCTACTGACTTCTTGGTTGGTTTGGTTTTTCTGCTCAAAGGAAGGGGAATAGCATTACAACTTATGCAACAAACCCACCTCCACTTGGTGACAGCTGAGGATGGCCTTGATTAAACTGTTAAATATCTTCTAAACTTGTTTCCAGATCCCCTAGTCTCCATGATGTTAGCCTAGAATAATGACAGTATCTGCTGCTCTAAAGGTCAAATTACAGTATTCAATCAGATAGGACTCACACCTAAAGCTACTACTAGTAATCTCAAAGGCTAAAAGAAAAGAAATATAAGACCAGCATCAGGAGCCATGTACATGAGCCCCTGTGACCTCGGGCAAGCCATTCAAGGCTCCTTTGGCTCAAATGCAAACCATTCTGGAAGCTCACTGGATACTGGATCATTTGCAAATACCCTGAAGAAAACATGGATATAAACTCATCTCCTGACTCTGCAGCTGAACAGCTGACCCTACTTTAGGGCACTCTGCATACAGTTCCCACTGCATCTCTTTATGGTTATTACCAGTCCAACGATGGAGAAGACAAAGTCACACTGAGCTAGCATCATGAATGAATGACTCATTCACATAGAACCACCTCTCCATGCTTTTGATTCAACTGTCAGCTCAGCCAAACTACAAGTTACTATATGACAAGGCCCTTGAAGCACCCAGTGAAGATTAGAGCCCCAGTATCGAATCCCTCTGTGGCAGGGTACCTGCTTTTCTGAGCCCAGCTACCATGTCCTTCTTAATCTTCATATTAGATGTAGACTATGTCTCCTCAAACAGTGCAGGGATCAGCAGAAGTAGCAAAAAGAAAGAACATGAATAACAACCTCAGATCAAACTGGGTTTCAACCTTAACTCTTTCAAATACAGCCTTATGTCCTAGAGTAGGTCACACTACCTTCCTCATGTCTTGTGTTCT